AGAAGATGTCTTGAAATCATTTAAGTAGCTAATTTATTAAGCATAACGGTAATCATATTAAAGAAAATATTGGTTTTTGAGGTAAGAGGAGAATGTTCGTAATCTTTGCTCATGCGCCTAAAATTGGAGAGCCAAGCAAAGGTTCTTTCAACTATCCAACGTTTTGGAATAACCTGAAATCCTTCAGCTTCGGGATCTTTTTTAGCAATTGTGAGTAGACATCCGGTTTTCAGAAAACAGCGCTTTTGCAGTTCACCTGTGTATCCTTGATCGGCAAAAAATCTCTGCAAAGTTAGTGTTTTGCGCTTTGCTTTTATTAGTAGAGCTAATGCTCCATCACGATCTTGCACACCTGCACTATGCACATCAGCTGTGACTACAAGACCCAACGTATCCACTATAATATGGCGCTTCCTGCCTTTTATCTTCTTTCCAGCATCGTAACCTCTGGACCCCCTTTTTGAGTCGTTTTTACTGATTGACTGTCTATTATTCCAACAGACGGTGTTGCTCTTTTGCCGGCCATTTCTCTTACCTTTTTTACCAAAGAGTCATGTATTCGTTGTAATTTTCCATTATTGCGCCACCTGAAATAGTGGTCGTATACTGTTTTCCATGGCGGAAAATCTTTTGGCAGCATTCTCCACTGACAACCTCCTTTCATTATATATCTTATTGCATGCTCTAATATCGTGTTTTCTTGGCCTTCCTATTGCCCCTTGTGCAACGTATGGCTCTAGTATTTCCCATTCTTTGTCACTTATGTCACTTGGATACATTTTTTTGCCTCTTAATTCTACATTTGCTTTAGTATATTTATCTTTTCATTTCTTTTCAAGACATCTTCTTATAACAGGTGCTTCATAACTTAACGTTTTAACATTAAAAGGACGATATTCTTTTTTTCTTCCGGGAGGGTCAAAACGGCTGACTATAACAATAACTTGATTGTTTGCATCATAGTAGTTCCAACTATAGGTGAGATATTTTTCCAAATATTCGACACTTGTGTGCTTTTTGCCAAGCCATTCACCTATAGAAGCCATTACCTCAATAAACTCTGTCCTGGCATTTTTTCCTTTTACAGCCGCCCAAAGATAAATGATGTCACCTTTTTCGTTAGTTGCGAAGTCTTTCCACAATCCTTTTCTATCACCAGTTAACTCTACTCTTAGGCTTTTTCCTCTATTGCCCTGTATGTTTCCCACCCAGAACTCATGGCTATGAAAAGTACCATTAGGAAACAGATACTCAAGGCAAGACCTTAAGTTATTCAGTAATTCTTCTTTTAGTTCTTTACAATTTAAAGTTTGAAACATAATTCACTCCTTTCACTATTTCCCTAAAGGAGTTATTCAACTTTTTGAGGTAAATATTTTGCTCCGACATGATTTAAAATGCCATCGTCATTATTCTCTAAAAAAAATGACAGAATATCAGTAGGTTAAGAATCACAGTGCAATTATTTAATTTTGCTCCGCAAGTACAGTCAGTAGCTAAGATAGGTCATCCTTGAGTAGTTAATTATTCAAGGAGTTTCAATGAAACCACAAAATTTTTACTTGGGAATTAATCCTATAATTGTCAGATACGTTAGATATTATGCAAAGTGTATAAAACGTCTTAAATGTTTTGCTCATGAAAGCATTGAAGATATTGAGCAAGAACTTTTCTGCATGATTTGGCCTACGGTTAAAAAATACGACGAAACTAAAAGCTCTTTTCCTACTTTTGTATCTCAGCTTGTTAAGTGTCGTACTATTAACCTTATTAAAAAACAGTCATGCAAAAAACGTGGTGGCAAAGAAGGTATATCCTATGTTGATTCTGAAGCTCTTGATGGAATTGTTGATGAAAGGTATCATTTTGCAAATGAAGTGGCAGATCGTATCGATGCAAACTATGTCATTTCAACATTACCTGAAGAATGGCAAACGCTATGCAAACAACTAGAAGTATTAAGTATTCCAGAAGCAGCTGAGATAAATGAAATACCAAAAACAACAGTCTATAACACTTTAGATCGAATAAAACGACGCGCAAAAAAATTTTTTTAGCAAATCAAATAAAAACAAACAGTTCTAGTATAACACATATGGGGGGTAGTAAT